GTTATACATAATTCAGAGGGGTCCCCCTGAAAGACCTGGGCCAATCCGGGAACAAGCAAAAGCCCACCTAACTTAACAGGTCTGCGTTCTCATGGAAAGCAGCCACAAGGGTACCAAGGTCACCGGCCTAAGCTAGAAGATAAGACGAGTTAGGGAGAAACGAAAGTTAAGATTCCATTACAGCAACATACCATCCATCACCACCACCCCCTCCACCAGCTATGGCAGCAGCTTAGCTGACAAATATACAGATAGGGAAGACAGGACCAAGAGGAGCAGAAACTGTTGGACAGCATCTGTTGAGCCAGAGTCAATAGGTGAAATGCAATGTAGCTTCCATGCTGGGGCCTTTCCTGCATTTTGATAGGTTAGTGCATTATCTGTGTGAATTAAAGACAAAGTGCGCACAAATTCTCACAAGCTGTATTCAGACTGCCTTAGGTCTATGAAGTTTGTGGAAGGATGGCGGATGAGAAGGGCAGATGCATTTGTCTGAACAAAGGTCCAAGAGATGCTCTGTTAGATGTGAACTATTCAGGCAGCCTTTATCTACCATTGTAGAAAGTTAATTGTTTTGTGTGTGTGTGTGTGTTGTGTGCTAAAAAGCGAAAGCGAATAAGGAAGTATTCCATGTTTTGACTTAGAGTTACGAAACGAAGCATACTTGTATAAATGGAAATCTTTTTTGAGTTTTCAAATTAGATCTTTCTATGTATTTCTGAACCACTGTGGGTAATTTTCAGAAAGACAGGTTATAAATGTGTGTAAAATGAGAACAGATTTGTTGGGAGGGTACTATTTGAACATACGCATCTTCCTTTTCCCAAGGGGAAATTGGTCCACTGAGCCACTCTGGCTTGAAGCAGCACTATGGGTGGTATGAGAACACAAATTCTTTTCTGGCACCTGCTGCTTTAACCTGGGACTTGAGCCGTGGCCCTTTCCCTGACTAGGCAGTGCTAGTTCTTATACTGAAGAGATTCCCTCATCCTTCAAAGAACAGGGAAGGGTTGTTCCGGTCCTTGCATCTACCGCGAGGCTCACATGGTAGGCTGAATATTCCCCCTGCCCCCCCCCCCCAGCTCAGGCAGGGAGTCGAGGAAATATAGGGTTTAACTCCTGTTGTGCTGGACCGAATAGTGTTCCTGTATAGTTCTTCCCCTTCTAGCAGGTTTACTGCCTCTGGATGTGGAGGTTCCCTTCAGTCATCATAATAGTAGCAGAACCACTGATGAAATTCTCATCCATGAATCTGTCAGATGCATAACAAAGTGGGTCTGACTCACAGAGTCTTCTGTGACAATAAATGGAGCCTTAAAAGATTTTGTTCATGTAATCCACTAAACAGAGGCCCCGGTGGGGCCGCCGGCGGGGGGGGGGGAAGAGGGGGGGGGGGGGGGGACACGCGGCTATTTGCGCCATCGCATTCTGATGCACCATTATGTGATCAGACGCGACGGCGGCTTCCCCACGGCAAAGAGGACGACGGGGGAGAAAGCTGCGCGCTGGCGCGATCACACCCAGGGAGTCTGCATGCAGCCCATGGCAAACCATTTGCCAGTAGGTCGTCCCAGGTGCTTTTTTAATGCGCATCTTCGGCATCTTCGGTTTGCCACGGGTGCACTACGCCTCCCAGATGTTCCGGTGTGATCGCACCCGGAAAATCCGCGGGACTATCGTGCCTTCAGCGCAGCAAATGCTCCGTGTGAACGGGGCCAAAGTTCAGTTTTTGTTTCGGAGAAAATAAAATGTTTTTTTGTCAGCCACTTTTAGAAATTGGTCTCAGTGACCCAACTAGTGGGAATTCTGCTTCAGTTTTCTTTTATCTCTGTTTTTGCAGGTGCTCTTGGTAAATATGTGCCTTCTCCCCTTCCCCATTCATTTCTCGCAGCCTCCTGTCTGCTTTAAGACAGATGGTATTGCCGAAACCCTTTGACAGTGAAAGCTGCAAGATAATTTTAGATTTAGACTATTCATAAAAATGGTACATTGTCTACTGTGAGTGGAAACTGTGAAAATGTGTGTTTGAAGCACCAACAGTGCAGCGTTTATATTTACTTATAGAGAATATAGCAAGTTAGTTTACTAATCTGATTTCTTTATATATAGCCTTATTCGTTTAAGTCTTGTTATTGCCAGTTTGTATCTTTAAAAGTGAGCAAGATGACACTAGTTCAATTCACTTCTACAACATGTGTGATAAGGTTTCCATTTTATAATCAGTCAAAGAGTTGTTTCCTTGCTGTGTTGAGACTTAGATCCACTGGCTTATGGTCTACAGTCTCATTCCATATTATGAAGGTACTGTTCAAACATCCATTCACCCATGAACTGGTTGAACCAGGTGCAATCTTGACTTTTCCAATAAACATATATCCTGTCCCTATTTTTAGGGAGGGGCTGTGGCTCAGTGGTAGAGCATCTACTTGGTATGCAGGAGGTCTGAGGTTCAGCCCCTGGCATCTCCAGTTAAAGATCAGGTAGTAGGTGATGTGAAAGACTTCTGCCGGAGAGCCGCTGCCAGTCTGAATAGACAGTATTGACCTTGATGGACCAATGGTCTGATTCAGTATAAGGCAGATTTCTGTGTTATTACCTTGGCAGCTGTAAGCAGCATGAATGGAACTCATTAGTATATTCAGTTCTTGCTGGCCTGTCTTAAAAACAATGTATGAAATTTGTAGACTGGTTAGAACATAGCTGTTTTTATTCTGTTTCCAGAATCTCTTTCTTGGAAATTAGAAGACCAGTAATACCCAACAGGCATTGGTGAAAGGGCTTGTACGTGTTGTCCCCTAGCCGATGGTTTTAAGAGTATGTATTTAACTCTTTATGGAGCTGCGGTGGCTCAAGTGGTTAAGACGCTGAACTGCAGGCTGTGGAAGGTCAGTAGTTCAGCAGTTCGAGACTCGGGTGCCGCATGACGGAGTGAGCTCCCGTCTCTAGTTCCAGCTCCTGCCGACCTAGCAGTTCGAAAGCAAGAAATTGCACGTAGATAAATAGGTACCACTTCGGTGGGAAGGTAACAGCGTTCCGTGCGCCTTGGTGTTTAGTCATGCTGGCCACATGACCACAGAAACGTCTTCGGACAGCGCTGGCTCTTCGGCTTTGAAATGGAGATGAGCACCGCAACCCTAGAGTCGGATTCGACTGGCTTTCGAGCAAGGGAACCTTTACCTTTTTATTTAACTCTTTAAAAGTCATCCTTGAACCTGGTAAGCCTGCCAGACCTCTGTACCTTTAAACATGGAATCTGCTGGGTGCAGAAGTTCCTTGGTAGATGAACTGGTGAGTTTCTCATCAGTAGAAATGAGAAATAGTGGTGGATCAATCAGTTGTAAGGGCTGTGCATTTGCAAAACTACGACTTTAATAACTAACCGACCTGTTAAACTACAGTGGCTGTTCATTTGTTTGCAGTGCCTGCTTAAATTGTTTCAGGCCACTGTAGTGTTGTGCATCTGCTGATCTATGCCTAGGACTGAGGTTTCCCACATTCCTCTCCTTACCCACAGTCATTCCACCTGCCCATAAAGGTAATTGACAAATGACTCCCGTGGAGAAATAGCGGGGTGGGGGAACATGCTGGAGGAAAGAGATATAGGGGGTTTGAAAGTCTTTCCGTTCCATATTCAGCAAGCACAGCTGTGCTGAAGGTGGGGAGGGGCATTTCATCCCTTCTCTCCCCCCCTTCCATGTCCTGACCTACAGGGCAAACCCCCCCCCCCCCCCAATATAGCCTGAATAAAGAGCAGTAAAGAGCTTTACAGCTGCCTGAAAAATTCTACTTACTGGTTTCTGCTACATTCATATGAAATTGAGCTAAAGAGTAAGATAAACAGTGAACTGGAACTTAGTTGAGATTTGAAATCTAGCCTTTCAGTTATGCATGCATCACCTTCAACCAACTGTGGTGTTGGTCCTTATCTCATGGTTCCAATTTTGACCTTTTGGAAGCTTTTGGATGTTTATTTACAGTTCAAAAAAATTTGTGTTCATGCCCTGACCTGGATTGCCCAGGCAAGTCAGATCTCAGAAGCTAAACCAGGTTGACTCTGGATGGGAGACCTCCTTGAAATACCAGCAGTCGGGAGGACAGGGGCAGGCTTTACTCAGCCACCTCTCTGAATATCCTTCAGGCCCCCAGTAGGGGTCAGTCACCAGAGGTCGCCATGACTTCCAGGTGCAAACATACTCACGTGCACACACACACAAGAAAAAATACCAAAAAAATGTGTTCATGTCATATAACAGTGTGTGTCAGTTAAAAGAAGGAGTAGAGTCTTAAGTGGCTATTTTTTCACTGGTTTCTTAGTACCCCCTGAGGTCTAAAAGAAACTCTGTTCAGATGGATGCAGTAGATCACTCTACTTACAGAGTCAGAGGTCAGTAAGGACAACGTGCACAGCTTGTGTCTAAAGGAATAGGGAAGAATCAGCATCTAATTGTTATAATATTTCCTTTAAGCAGCATTTCTGAGATTAAAAACTTCTTACTCATCCTCTAAAACTAGGTCACTTTGCCCTTACACGGCATGCTGCCAGGCCCTGTGTAGATTACAGTTTTAATTTTGCTCTCCTGGGTCTCTATTGAACAATGCCCTTTTCACTTTCCATTAAAACCAGCAAATCCCTGCAACAGTTTGGAGAACAGCCCTGCCTGATAGGAAACTGACTGAATTCATTCAGAGCTGCCTCTCTTGTCTGGGCAATAGCGCTGCTTTGTGTTTCCATTGTGCTTGGTACAACATCGGGGCAGGACTTGAATATGCAAGGGTACTCCTTTAGGAGAAAAAAACGTAGGGCCCCACTGTCTGCTTTGCAGGACCCCCCCCCCCCAAGTACCCGTGTGGGTCCCAGTGTGAGAAATGCTGAGCTGTGGCATTTACAGGAAGGCTAATAATTGCCAGGTCAGCACTTGGCAAGAGAACTACTTTTTTTTCCTTTTAATGCGGATTTTATATTCATGAAGGGGGAAAGATCAAGCACACAAGTAGCTGCAAAATTTTGTCATTTTATTCAATGAGTTCTTCAGGATCCCTCCCAGCTTCAGGCAACTGAAGCATTTTGATATATATATCATAATTCTTTGTGCCCAAGTAGGTACCCAGTGCAGCTTGCAGGAGTGCAGCAAACCTCAGCTTTTTGTAAGCTGGCTTACAAACTGCCATCCAGTACCGGAACATGTTCTCCTTACTTGGCAGAGGAGCTGTGGAATACCTAGAAAAACAGAACATTTTAGTTCAGTGACAGCTAAACCAAATATTCTAGTATCCCCCCCCCCCCCAAAAAAAGGAAACTGGGAAAAAATAATAATACAAGAATATCTCCAGGAGGCAGACAGGCTGTTTATTCTGTCTCCCCTGCTCTTCCGGGTAAAAAAAGAAAAAACCCAACACAGATGTTTCTCCAGCTGTTCTTTTCAAGTTAGAAAGTAGGATCTCAAAGGTACGTGGTTTTTATTTGCACAAAAAAGAGGGGGGGGGATCCCTTCCAGATTAAGCAATCCGGCGCCCACCCCACCAAAGGAATCCTGCGCGGTTTCCCTTTCGCCCGATCGCTCTCCGATCTTTCTCACATCTGCCCTCGGAAATAAATGAGCCGGGCAGCGGCTGGTTACAGATGCAAGCCAGGAAAAGAAAAAAAGAAAAAAACCCCACGAGAATCACAAAAAAAGGCAACTGTGGTAAACCTGTTGCACAAAAAACAGCCCGTTCTACTTTAAAATAAAAATAGGTGCCAAAGCCCTACTACAGTTTTCAGGATATAAAATACCTGCTCAAAGGAGGGAGTTACCGGTTACATAAAAGCATGTTATGTAGTTTCATATACCCCAAATGGATGCTATTAAACCCAATTAGCAGTCAGAGAAAAGAAGCAAGAAAGGTGCTAGGGTGAGTGCACTGGAGGATGCCTTAATGCAAATATACTGAATGAAGGGAATAATTTGAATAGTAACTGGAGGAGGGGAGCATTTGTCAAAATAATAAACCCTTCAGCAGAAACACCTGCAGTAGAGGAATTCTACAGCAGACAGATGCTCCAAAGACTACCAATTATACATTATATTAAAGTGCCTTAGCCCAAGGAAAGAAATTTACACTATTTTTGCACACGCATCACAGAGACAGGCCAGCATTGCATAATCAAGTAGGTAGCTGCATCAGGTCGTAGTAGAAGAGTGCGGTCCGTGTCCAGTTGCACCATAAAGACCACCTTACAGACCAGAAAGATTTCCGAAGTGTCTGATGATTTGACTCTCCAAAGCTTATACCCTGGAAAACTTTAAGGTGGTTTTTAAGGTGCAGTTTCTCTCATATGAATCTTGCACAAGCACCATTTACAGCAGGATCCATTTATTTGCACCTCCATTCAGGTATTTTTCCCACACTGCCATCCAGCCATCAAAGACCAACCGTAAATACTTGAGTGCTTATCCTAGAAAACTTATGTGGGAGAGTTCTTGAAACTGAAATTATCCCAGCGTAGGACGTCACTGCAGTTTTAAGTATTTGCTTGCTTGTCAAGCATGGCAGTACCTCTTCAGCTACAATAATGCTCTTTTGACGGTGGGCTGTCCACATTTGCAAGGGGGCCTTCAACATACATTATAAATATACCTAGCTGCGAGACTTCCACACAGCGGAATAGCTGTGAGTGCAGGATACACACAACCCATAAAGGCTCCAATTAATCCTCCTCTGACTGAGGCACAAGTTGCACAGTTTAGATCACCTGGAGAGGAATAAAAGAAACTGGATGACATTTATTTATTTATTTGTGGATGACAGTTATTCACGTATCCTTTAAAAATTACATCAGATACGTAGAGCATTCTTGATGTGAGGACAACTCTCCTATTTCAGGGCTGGTTCAGTCTTTTAAAAATCCGTATTTCCTAATTAGTGTGAGATACTGCCAAGACAGTAAGAAGCAGCTCAAAAATTACATCAGAAAAGCTTTACTACCGCCCATCTTTTCCCACCGTTGTGTCTGTCATGAACATTAAAATGATAGCATCAGACGCATACATCGTGCTTTTGCCCTCTGGAGAGAAGGAGCACCCCACAACCTCCCTTCCCACCACTATAAGGCAGTCTCGTCACCCAGACAGAATAAGACAACACAGTAATCCCCATAACCTGCTCCGCCACTGGTGTGCACGCATCACCAGTGTCTAGAACGGGTCCCCAATGTGCTGCCTGAAGGCACCATGGTGCCCGCTGACCAATGCTCCCTCGAAGCTGTGGAGTCTTGTGAGCAAAAACTCTACTTTGTGAGCTGCTGGCATCAAAGTTGTGAGCTACTGCATAAATGAGTCTGCTCTGGAGCCATCGTGCCGGAGCGAAGGCAAAAAGGTGTGAGCCAGTGGCTTAAAAACTGAGCTGGCTCACACTAACTCAGCTTAGAGGGAACACTGCTGCTGACCCCTTCCCTGGCGCCCGCTAAGTGTTCTTAGAAAGTGGGTGGGGTCAGGTGGGTTTTTTGCCCAGCAAGGCTTCTGATTGGCCGCTGCATTGGTTGTATAGATTTTTCAAAACATTGCTGTGTGACTGAAAGTAAGCTGCAGCAGCCATCTTGTGCTGCATCCACCACACTGTCTCCAAATCCCCAATGTCCCCACAAGCTCAAAAAGGTTAGGGACACTGGTCTAGAAAGTATAGGTATAGCCTTGAGCCCTGACTCGGCAAAGGGAAATGTGTGGCAGGGAAGTAATATCGATCTGATACTGAAAGGACTATGTCCGCCTCTTGTTCTGTAGGGTAATTGGCAGGATATGGGTTGGATCTTGCCAGGTTTACCAATAGCACAAGAGAGAGGAGATACCCCTTTTAGACCCACCCCCCTCTAAAAGGCCATGTATTGGGGATCATGGGAGCAATGTAGACAAAAGCCGCGGAGGACAGTGAGAAGGGAGATCAGGTGAGACCACCTTCTTTCCTTGCCTGAGAAGAAAAATCCAACCCTATACGAAACCTGAAAGTGAAGTGGGCTTCCAACTTCAAATGTACACACGGGGGGAGGGGGGGGACCCTGCACCTCCCAGGTTTCGCAGACAGACCTGGGTTTGTATGTAATTTATAGCCCTAATTTAAGAATACAGTAGATAGAATAAGTACTTTTCTAAAGCATGGTTTATGAGGCAGTTGGAAGTGAAGCTGTGCTGGTGGGAAGTGCCAATCAAGTCCTGGGGACCTGAATCAGAGTCTCCCATCCAAGTACAGGGCGTACCCCGCTTAGCTTCTGAGATCTGACAAGACGGTGCTAGCCTGGCCCATCCAGGTCAGGGCAACAACTGACTTTTTCATTCTGGGCAGATTACAGAATAATCCCAGAAGATTAAAGCAGTGAAGGGGTCACCGCTTATTTTGCACGCAGCTGAGCCTGGCATAGAGGCGTCAGACTCTTGTGTTTTATCGCTTCCGGGTCCTTTTAAAAGCATTTTCTCTCTAGAATACACCTGCCAACCGCAGACCAGCACCATGCACCTGATCAAGCGGATTCTAGTTTGTGCCGTAATAAAGTTGTCAGTCTTTACAGTGCCACAAGCCCCTAGATCAGGAGTCCCTCAGCTTTTTTGAACCTCCACACACTTTTTAAATTCTGACACAGGGTGGTGGCAGCAACCACAGAATGGCCGTGTGGGAGGGAGAGACAGGCAGGCACGCACAGGAAGCCCAAGTGCAAGGGAGGAGTAAATTTTAAAAATACACTGAGGAGGAGGAGTCAGAGAAGGAATACAACGAACACTATAGCAGCAGCTGCTGCTGAAATGTTATTTTAACCTGCACAGCCGCTCAGGTCTCATATGGGTAATTAGAAGCTCTACTGGGCAGGAGCTCATCTGGCCCCACCCAGTTTTCTAAAAATACTTGGATTGGCACCATGGCGCCCCCTGGGCACCACGTTGGGGACCCCATGTCCTAGATAAGAATGGGGGGGTGGTGACCGTGGCCTGCCTTTTTCCTTGTCGGGTGGCTCCCGTGTCCACTGCTAGCAAAGCCACCAAACATCATTGCTTGCAAATTCCCCACTGTTTGTACAATTTATTTCTTCAAATTTGTACCCCACCCTCCCTGCCTAAGCAGGCTCAGGGCGGCTTACGCCATAAAACATAACGACAATCAAAACACCATAATACTGTTAAAACAGTTCATTAAAACCACATTATAACAATATCAACTGCTAGCAGTAATGCTTTTATCATATAGATGGTGCTATACATTGTATAGATTGTCTGAGTATTCAGCTCGTTGATCTTCTCATACCTGAACGGCAGGCACAGGCTGTTAGTACTAAACCAGGCGCCAGGCTCTACAGTTAATAACGGTACTGGTGGTGGTACTGGTGGTGACTGCTCCTAATCGAAGGCCTGGTGGAAGAGCTCCGCCTCGCAGGCCCTGCGGAACAGGTCTCTTCCGACAGTGGTCTCTTCCGGGAGCTCATTTCACCAGTGTGGAGCCGCTGCCAAGAAAGCCCTTTGCCCTGGTTACAGCCAGCCTGGCGTCCTTGGGACCTGGGAGGGCCAAACGATTTTGTGACCCTGGCCGAAGTGCTCTCCGGGGTATATATGGGGAAAGGCAGTCCCTCAGGTATGTGAGATACCATAGTACACATCAAAGGTTAAGTTTGAAAGTCTGAGCATCGTACCTCGCATTAAAGGCTGGGAAATGCAAAATTCGTAAACAACCAAAGTTGAGGCGAACGGCAAGAACACCATGGGCAGAGTGGACGCAAGCCGAGCCTGGGTTACGTTCAGGGCCCTCCTCAGATAGTTGTCTGCTATTAAGCCGCACAAGCTTGAGTTGAACGCAAGGAAGAAGGATCCCGTTCGAAATAAACTCCTGTCGGAATAGCCGGGAGAGGGGGGGAAAGGTATCTTAGAACTGCTACCTCAGAGCTATTGAGCTTTAGTTACCTGTGGAGTATTGCCTGGACCACCTCCTCTCTCATTCATAACACAAACGGGCCTATTTCTGGAACCATCGGGATATGGTATGTGCTGGACAACTCCTTAAATATCATCTCAGTCTTGTAGCATTAAAGCAGAATAACCAGAATCGTAAGAGGAGCCTCAGACCAGTGGTCCGTTTAGTCCAGCATCCTGTCTCACACAAGTGGCCAACAAACAAATTGCTGAAGTGTATAATTCTGAAAGTAATGCTCCCAAGGTAGCCCTGTCTCTTCCTACAGGAAGGTATCTGTCCTTCTGAAAAGGGAGGGGGGGGAACCTCACAGGCCTTGCGAAAGAACACAAGCAGTGCTTCAGGCAGGAAACGAGAGCAGATGGGAGAGTACAAGAACCACAGCTAGATGCCTCCTAAGGAGGGCAGGCCTTGTCTCTGGCTGGAGATAATGACAAGCTGAGAAAATTGTGTGGCACACTGCTAGTCCCCTGGGGGGAAAAACCCTACAGTCTGGTGACTTATGTCATATACATCCTTATAAATGCATAAGCCACATTAGAATAAAGGTTTCTCCTTCAACCTGACAGCACTGGGATGCAGCTAGGGTTGCCAGCCTCCAGGTGGGGCCTGGAGATTCCGCAAAATCTAGATTTCCTGCTATTACAACTGATCTCCAGACAACCAAGATCAGTTCCCCTGGAGAAAATGGCTGCTTTGAAGGGTGGACTCTATGGCATTGTAACCTTCTGAGGTCCCTCCCCTCCTCAAACCCCGCCCTTCCCAAGCTCCACTCCCCAGTCTCCAGGTATTTCCCAGCCCAGAGCTGGCAACCCTGTTTCCAGCTCATGAAACTTTATGTACCTCCATGAAGTTGTTAATCTTTAAGGTGCCACAAGACTCCCTTCTGCAGCAGAGGAATAGAGCTGCCACTACCTGGCCACTGGTCCATTTTATTTCTCTATGTATCGTTCACCTTTTTCTAGGGGGACTTAAGTTGGATTATACAGAGTGAGTCGACATGAATTAACACAATCGACAGGCTGCGACTTTCAGTAGACAATGCAATAGGATTTTGGCTGTAGAAACAAAACCGAAGCAAAGCAAATTGTCAGCACGACCCTTTAAACGAAGCAAAATTACATAGCAGGATCCAACGTGTAGCAAGCTATACACAGTACTATAGACCACAGTCCCATATAACTTATCTGAGTGACTGAATCATTTTGTACAGTGCTACCCTCTTATCTGCGTAGAAAACCTCTCTTAAATCAGTTTTGCATAGTTTGTGGAAAGCCAGGAGGGGTGGGAGCCCTCCTGACTTCCTCGGGCAGACTGTTCAATAAGGTGGTGGTGGGGGGAGGCACAACGGAGACAGCACATGTACGGGCAGTGGTTGATGTTGCCCGTTTGCAGGTTGGCACCTGCAGAAGACCCTGCTCGGATGAGTGAAGCTGACCTGGTAGAGGACTGGGCGGAGGGGGGGGAGACGGTCTCGCAGCTATGAGGGTCCAAGGCCGTGAAGGGCTTTGCGTGCGACAGCCAATACTTTCAATTGAGAACACCGAAGAAATCGAAATGATGAGGTGAGACCCTCACAAAATGGTTACATCCATGTTGGAGACTGTCAAAGAAGTTCTTAGAGAGGTGAAGAACAACAACAGTTCTCCACAGTCTGCATGGCCCAGCATGCACTATTCTCTATCACTAAAGAATATCCGGTGCCTACAGTTCAACACGCTAATATTCAACACATACACATCCCACACCCATCTTAATCCTTTCAGCTAGGTCATGAATCGTTGCATGCTTTAAAAATGAGGGAGATGAAAGCAGAAAATGAGACCTGGGAGCGTTCCATTGGCCCACCCTGGGTGTTGTATATTCCGCTGAGCAAACCACTGAAGACCATATACCTGGGGTTAGTGTAACCATTAGTGGTATAAAACTGTTCGAAAGGCCAAGGGGCCTGTCACTCACTTGTCTTTTTCTGGAAGCCGCTCAAACCTTTCTCGCAGAATCTCAGACCGGTCTCTTGCTTGGCGTTTCTCTCTCCTCAAGAGAGGATCAAGGATCTCTCCTGCCATTTTCGTTTTCAGCGAGCAGGCGGGGCTGACAAGAAACAAATCCGACACACATCACAAGTCATTATTGAGAAAGAATGCCGGCAAACGAAACGGAAACACACTTAACCCTCTCCAACTGTGTTGTGTGAAGCTGTTATTGAAAGCCAGCTGCCCTGCATCTGTGCGACTGGATATGTCGGGGGTCTCCAGATTTGTTGAGTCTGCAGGCACATTTGGAATTCTGATATGTCACGGTGGACGCAACAAAATGGCTGCCTCAAATTTTTAATTTTTTTAAAAGTTATTTTGGCATTTTTACCCCACCCTCCCCGCGAGCCAGCCACAAAGTTATCACCTCAGCTTAATTCCAGTAACACAGTGTAGATCCTTGTGCTGTGGTGGTAGCTGTTGCCAAAGCAACATTAATCTCCAATAGTCAATCAAAAGCCTCGCTGGGCAAAAGTCCTATCTCAGGGGTGTCGAACTCATTTGTTACGAGGGCCGGATCTGACATAAATGAAACCTTGATGGGCCGGGTCATGTGTGTCATAAAATGTAATGCCAGGTAGTAGGGATGTGCAAAAAAAAAAAAATTCGGTAAAATTCGGATTCGGGTTTATTGGACCCGAATTTTTTCGGGAAACCCGAAAAAACCCGAATAGATATCTGAAAATTTTCGGGAATCCCGAAAAATTCGGGTCCATTGTAACCAATGGGGCCATTGAAGTCAATGGCAAAAATCCTCTTGAAACTTTGCGGGGGGCTGGGGGGGAGGGGGTTTGGGGTAGAGGCTCCAAACTTGGAGGGTGCTCACTGGAACCTCTTCCCAACATGCCCACCAAGTTTCAAGGCGATTGGACAAGGGGGTACAATTTTATGGCCCCCCAAACAGGTTGCCCCCAGATCAGCCTTCTGCAGTTTATTCCCGGTTTGCCGCCGAAATTCGGCGGCAATTCGGCAACATTGTATCATATGGCCCTTGGAGTTGGAGGCTCCAAACTTGGAGGGTGGTTACTAGAACCTCTCCCCAACACACCCTCCAAGTTTCATGAAGATTGGACCAGGGGGTCCAATTCTATGGGCCCCCAAACAGGTTGCCCCCATCCCATTGTTCTCTATGGTGGGAAAAAATGTAATTTTTTTCCCACCATAGAGAACAATGGAGGGATGGGGGCAAACTGTTTGGGGGAGTGTGCTGCGTGTTGCAATTTCAAACTGTACATTGCCAGACCAGCCAGCCACACTGCAGCAGAACCATACAAGTGCCCCCCCACCTGCGCTACCAAACTGGGTGCCCAAAACCCCAAAACTACAACTTAGCTCAAACCAAAGAATCTCTCTACAGTAGCAGCAGCACTAGCATGTGCATTGTGCCAGACAGGCCCAGCAGAAGAAACAACCAGAGCAATCTGCCACCTGTGCCAGGCCAGCCAGGTTGCCAATTGCCAGTCAGTGCCCCAAAACCAGAACTAGGTCAAACCAGAGAATCTTTCAAGACAGCAGCAGCAGCCACTAGCCCACTACAGGGAGCAAGTGCATGCCAGCCAGGCCCCAGCAGCAGAAGAACCAGAGCAATCTGCCACCTGTGCCAGGCCAGCCAGGTTGCCAATTGCCAGTCAGTGCCCCAAAACCAGAACTAGGTCAAACCAGAGAATCTCTCCAGACAGCAGCAGCAGCCACTACAGACTGAGGGAGCAAGTGCATGCCAGCCAGCCAGGCCCAGCAGCAGAAGAACCAGAGCAATCTGCCACCTGTGCCAGGCCAGCCAGGTTGCCATGCCAGTCAGTGCCCCAAAACCAGAACTAGGTCAAACCAGAGAATCTCTCCAGACTGCACTGGAGCGGCAGCACACAGGCTGAGGGAGCATGTATGTGCATCGCCAATGCCAATGCCAGCCAGCCAGGCCCAGCAGCAGAACCAGTCCACCACAAGTGTGCCAATGTGCCAGTGCCCAAAAAACCCCAAAAGCAAAACAATCTCTCCCCTCTGCAGTGGCAGCGGCCTACATAGGGGAGCATGTTTGCTAATCGCAGCCATGCCCAGCTGCAGAACCAGAGCAATCTCAACTTCCCCCCATCAACCTCTGTGCCCAGCAATGCAGGAGATTCACACAGAGACGTCTCCCTTACAACCCCAGAGGCCCAGAGGCCCCTCCTCCATGACCAGAAGCGCTATTTGCCTAGCCTGCTTTGGAAATCCAAAGGTGGGCTGCCGAGAGGCTGAAAAGGAGTTGGGAACTTGGGAGTCGGGCTTGGTCCCCTGTTCAGGCCAGGGGACAGCAGCAGAACCTGTGCACTGCACGCCCCTCCCCCAACCACACCCAGCCCGCCTGCTCCATGGCCAGGAGAGACTGTAAGGAGAGATGACTACTAGTCCGCTCCGCTTTGGAAATCCAAAGGTGGCCACTGGCCACAGGCTAAAAAAGGATTGTTACCATTGACCAACCCCCCACTCTCAACAATTTGCCCAAAACCTCCTGCATTGCTGGGAACGGGGCGGGGAGACCCACAAGCCAGCCGCTGTGTGGCTCGGGATGTTTTTGCCTGCCTGCCCCTGCCCGGTGGGGGTGGAGCTATCTTACTTCCTTGCTGCCAGTGGTAGCGGAGATATAAACTTTATAAAGGGCACAAACATGAAGGGTGTTTTTTTTTACTTTAAAAAAATAAAAACATGCTTAAAACATTAGCACTCTTGCATATTTTGTTTATTTAACAGTGTCTGATAACTGACACCCCTTGCTCTGGATTATTGCCTCAAAATGTCTGTGCTGTTGCAATCTTGAGTATGCTGTTCAGGTGTGTATCTGTAAGCTGCAAACCTACGATGACGCAGCAGCAGCAGCAGAACTGGAAGAAGAAGCAGAAGATAGCCAGTTCCACTGCGGGCCTGATTCAGCCCCCGGACCACATGTTTGACACCCCTGCCCTATCTGATCCTCTGCAGGCAACATGGCACCCACAGCCTCCACGTTGGGGACTCCTGCTTTATATTTTCATGTAGCTTTTCAGCCAAAAATGGCCTCCCAGATGAACCGGCTGCTGTGTACAGGTAACTCCTGAGTGGCGTTGAATTGCACTGTGGTCAAGAAACAGAACTCCGAGCTCACTTCAGCATCTCACCCAGAGAATGGTCAGAAGGCATAAGTTACAGTTTACCCGCTGATGTCAAAGAGGTCTGACGCTGTACCGCCATAGAGGGGTCCTAGGGGGACCCAGGTTTCTATCTCTACTCTGGCATGGAAGCTCCCAAGGTGATCTTGGGCCAGTCGCACGCTTCCAGGCACAACAGCCCTACCTCTCAGTGAAAACACAGTTTCAGTGGCTCTGATTCCTTTGGAGGAAGAAAATATATAAGTCCCAGTTCTAGCGTGTTTTAACTGAGCTCTGTGGGCAAGTTTGGCCCCCACTGCAATGTTTCCCCCAAGGGCGATGCTTAACTTTTCTCAAGGGGTAAACAGAAGCCAACTTGTACAACTTGGGGTACCAAGGAAGCCTACGCTCGGCCCAAAATGCTTCATGGTCTAGAGCTAGTTTTAGACCATTAACAGCACTCCAAAGTGTAGCCATTAACTACAGCCAAACATCCACAGCCGCCCCCCCACCCCACCCCCCTCTCCAGCAGTATGACCCCTTTAGAGGAATTCCGTGTGTCTCTGTATAGGTAACATTTTACCTGGAGCCCTAAACAGGAATTGTTTCCTTTCAATCTTTACTTTTATGGGTGGTGAATGTGTTAACTAGGGGTAGGGATGCTCTAAATTCCACCATGAACATATTCAACCGTTGAACTTTGCAATTTTAAAGAACGGGTTGTGGCTCAGTGGTGCCTCTGTTCAGCATGCAGGAGGTCCCAGTTTCAATCCCCTGCATCTCCAGTTTAATGGATGAGGTAGTAGGTGATGGCAAAGACCTCTGCCTGAGACCCTGGAGAGCTGCTGCCAGTCAGAGTAGGCAGTACTGACTTTGGTGGACCAATGGCTTGATTCAGTAGAAGGCAAATCCACGTGTCCATGTGTGTCCAAAGGTGGTGACTAGATGCAAGCCAATCATTCCATTTGCTCAGTTCATGTGTCTGTGTGAGGTTTCCCCAGAACTGCAAATGCAAAACTGATTGGCAGCCGTCAACATCATTAAGGACTACTGGACAAACACGGGAAAGTAAGATTGTATTGAATCACAGCACTTATTGATGACAGATTGATATGATTTGTGCACGATCTGTCTATTTAGACAATTGCCTGCAAATCAGAGCCGTTATTTAGCAGGTGCAGGTGGGCAGCTGAACTCAATCGGACTGTAGAACAAAGTTTGAATCCAGTGGCACATTTTAAGACCAACGAAGTTTTATTCTGGGTATAAACTCTGATGTGCAAGCACACTTCCTCAGATACAGTGACACAGAATGTCCTCAGTCATTACATATAGGTAGAGGGTGGGGAGGGTGTTACTGGGAAGGGCTAATTAGAGTCAAGATGCTGAAGTAACTGAGCAGTAGATATAGCTAAGACTGGATTAAGGAAATTGATAAAACTTAATTTAGCCTACAGCATAATAAAAGTTTGCAAACAGATGTGAAAAGTGAATGACACCAGTATGTGTAGTGGGATAAGAAACCGTTATCTCTGTTAAGCCTGGGGGTTCCATTGTCCTGAGTGTTGTAATAACTTGTAACAAAGCAATCTCCTGTTCTAGTCTGTTTCTGAAATTCCTTTGCACCAAAACAGCTCCTTTGAGGTTCCCTCATTGAATGTCCTGGAAGTTTGAAGTGTTCACCTGCAGGCTTCTCAGTTCTGCCCTTCCTGGCAACACCCTTCCCACCCTCTACCTATATGTAATGGTTGGTGACTTCTGTTTCAGTGTATCTGAAGAAGTGTGCATGCATACAAAGGTTTATACCCAGAATAAAACTTTGCTGGCCTTAAAGGTACCACTGGACTCCAACTTTGTTCTGCTGCTTCAGACCAACACAGCTACCCACCTGAATCTATCAATCGGACTGTGTAAGAAGTTTCATGTACGAACAGCCAACTGCATTGTCCTGCACGGTTAGTACAGAATACAGCAAGACAACCTGCCAGACCCCCATGAACATACTGACAAACTACCAATCCCATTGATGAAAAATTAGATCTCTGTTTGCAACTGGTGAACAGGACATGAGCCAAAACTGGCAAGTCTTCAAGCTTCCCCGACTAGGATACATGGTACTAAACCATATGAGACTCCAGTTGCTGGGACCAGTATTGTTCTCCTAGCATGTAGCAAATTGTAAGCCACTCACTTTTTGGTGAGCAAATTGTAAGTCACTCAGAGTTTGGTGTAGTGGTTAAGTGCGCGGACTCTAATCTGGGAGAACCGGGTTTGATTCCCCACTCCTCCACTTGCACCTGCTGATGTGACCTTGGGTCAGTCGCAAGCTCTGGCACAGCTGTCCTTGAAAAAGAGCAGTTTGTGTCACTCAGCCCCACCGACCTCACAGGGTGTCTGTTGTGGGGAGGGGAAGGGAAAGGAGTTTGTAAGCCGCTCTGAGACTCCAAGTGAAGGGTGGGGTATAAATCCAATCTCTTCTTCTTTTTCCCATAGAACTTAATGGGAGCAACTGAGAACTGAGTCAATCCCTATATTTATACTCCAGGGCATTCCACAAGCATCTGGCTCTTCATAATAACTGGCATTTTGCTAGAGATGAGGAGGAGAATAAAAGCAGATTCGAAGATAAATTCATGACTGACGGCTTTCCTGTCAGGAGAGATCCCCAATTCTTTTAATATTAACCATGACAGGTCCTGATGATGTGAAAGGTCAGACAGTTCCTGTTTTAAAAACCATCCTCTGCTAAGAGACTGATCTCTGCCTCTCATCCCACAAGATCAAAACTTTACGTAACATGACCGATCGGACCAAACACTACTGGCTTACAGCGTCTATTTTCAGGATGTCAAACCTATCCTCAGACCAAACTTTTACATCCTGCAATGAAAAACAGTCTACACAATTACTTACAAGTGTTTTTGTTGAACCTGAAACACATATGCATATAAAGAACAGACATTACCAGCTGAACATGAGGGGTTCATTTTTATTTTAAAAAAAGGTAACACAGTGGAATGCGCTAGCCACCAAGAATCATAAGCACAAAGCCAATAGGTGGGAGGGCTTTTAATGCGTATCAAGTTTATCCAGTCTATTTTACTTCCTGTATATGCCACTTTACTTTCCTGTGGGGACCCAAAGTAGCTTACAACATTCTTTCCATTTGATCTTCACAACAACCCAGTAAGGTAGGTGAGGCCAACTGTGTGACTGGCCACCCAGCAAACTTTCATGGCAGAGTGGGGATTCAAACCCAGGTCTCCCACGTCCCAGTCCAGCACTCTCACCACTGCACCACGGCGACTCTTCCTTTTGCGAGTTCTGCATTCAGCTCTCTTTAAGTGCTGGGAAGAAGCAGGCAAAATGCAAGCCGGCATCTCTGAAGCTGCAGTTCACAGTAGCAGATAAGAGAAGCGGCCTAGAGAAGAGAACGGTGAAGTCGATGCACTTCTATGTATTGCAGATACAGCTGCCAACCCTTCAACTGGGCACTGTAGTTACACTTTTAACAGCAGTTTGGCACTACCAAGTAAAAAAAGGTCTATGCTGGGCAAAAGCTTCAATTATTTATGTTATTTATAATCTGCCTCTCTCAAGGGGACTCAAGTCAGATTACACAGAGTGGGTCATCAAAATGGGACATTCAATAAACAGCGCATTAGGACTGTAGAAGTCTGGGAGCGACCAGAAAAAACTGAAGTACAGCAAAAGGATTAACATGACACATTAAGTGGTGCAAAAAAGCCCACAACATAATAGGACCCTGCTTACAGTAAAAGGAGCTACGGTGGCTCAAGTGGTAAAGACGCTGAACTGCAGGCTGTGGAAGGTCAGTAGTTCAGCAGTTCGAGACCCGAGTTGCCGCATGAAGGAGTGAGCTCCCGTCTCCAGTTCCAGCTCCTGCCAACCTAGCAGTTCAAAAGCAAGAAATTGCAAGTAGATAAATAGGTACCACTTCGGTGGGAAGGTAACAGCGTTCCGGGCGCCTTGGTGTTTAGTCATGCCGGCCACATGACCACGGACACGTCTTCGGACGGCGCTGGCTCTTCGGCTTTGAAACGGAGATGAGCACCGCAACCCTAGAGTCGGACTCGACTGGCTTTCAAGCAAGGGAACCTTTACCTTTTTACAGTAAACCACACAACAAGACCATTTCTGCAGTGGTGAAATTCCCCGCATTGATGCTTTTAAAACTGGATTCTCTGAAATTTTCCACATTTGATTTTTCCTCACCAGGCGGAGACCTGAAGTTTTCTCCTTACCCCATGTTTTTGGAACTCGCTAAAAAGGGGGATTCTGAAAACGCTGGGTCTGTGCCTGGTGAGGAAAAATCTCCTGCAGAAGGTTTCACATAATGCACAGTTTTAAAAACATCAATACGGGGAATTTCACTGCTGTGGAAATGGTCCAGTACAGACCACAATCATTTATCCAAGTAAGTTTGAGAACCATTTTGTACAGTGCAACCCTATTTCCTGTACCAAAAAAAGAAAAGAAGCCCTCTTGAATAATTCAGTTTTCCAGTTTGTAGAAAGCCAGGAAAGTGGGAACCTTCCTAACCTCAGGCAGGCGATTCCATGAACTGGGAGCCACACTGGAGAAAGCACATGTATGGGCAGTTGTTGATTTTGCCCAAAGGCTGGCACCCATCTGACATGAGCAAAGCTGTGGTTGCAGAGCACATGGGAAGATGCAGTCCCGTGGATCAGAGAGATGAGCAGATTTTTTGCACAAATTGGAGTTAAAGGGAAAAACAACATGCTAGCTCTTCTTTCCACAGGTCAGTTCTCAATAATAGTAGAATGCCCATGACACAGCAGAGCTCAGCCAGTCTGTAATGGTTACAGCTTTTCATTCTGACTTAAAGGTCATATTATGCATCACTGTTGATTAAAGAACAGAGGCTGCCCGTGACAAACAGAGCTGTAAGGACCATATTGCATCAATTAATCTTCAAGAACCATTTGAATAATTTTGCTTCCACTATATTTCAGCTTCACTTAATCCCTCCTCTATGGGAGGCTACAGTAGGGTGGGAGTCAATACTGTCTACCCTGCTTTAACTTATTTGTATGTTAAAGACTAAGAAAATTTGTGGCAGGGTGTGACCTTTCGTGAGTCCTTGCTCACTTTTTTAGATACAGCTAGAAGAAGTGAGCACTGACTCATGAAAGCTCATACCTTGCTACAAATGTTAGTCTTTAAGGTGCAACTGGACTTACAGCTGCTTTCACTGGAGATAGGAACGGAATATGCTTACTTGAAATAGTCCGAGAAGCAACCTGCAGACTCTGAAGCACGGCGTTCTAATAAGAGTAATCAAACCACCAATTGTTCTAGCCAATAAAGACATATTGCACTATGAGAGTAAATCAAAACTTCTCTGCCATTTCCACAAGGAGGATACAGATATAATCAACATCCCATATATATTTTCAAATTTGCACTTCACCCTGCTTAACTGCACACATAAAAATATTATTCTATTACCGGCGGCGGTGGGAGAGTGAATGACAAGGGTTCAGTCATACACATACCTACCTTGGAGCCAGCTCGCTTGAAACAAACGGGTTCTATTTCCAAATCAGGATGCACAGCATTGCAGCCAGATCCTGGTTAGGGAAGGATACAGTACACCACCCATTCCGTATGCGCTGAAACTGGCCATGGCAAGCCGTCCCCCCGCCATCACAAAACCTCTCAGGCCGCATAACCCCCCGTAAAAAGACAGAAATGACCTTGAGTCCGTGCGACCGAACCCAAGCCGTCGTCCTTCTACTCACCCAGCGCTTCCTTCGTCCTCCCCTCAATTAATCCTTCAAATCGCCACCGGGAAAATTCCCTCCGCCTGCCCCTCCCGATAAGCAGCCGCAAAGCAAACAGCCGTTTCACGGCGCGGCCCCTCGGAGCACCGCGCACGCCCTTCCCGTGGGGGCCGCCATCTTGGCCAGTCACATGACGTTCACGCCGCTTCCCCCCGAGTCCGGCTCGGATTGGCCATTCCCCCCGCCGCCTCAGCACGCCGGTTCCCGATTGGCTGAGGCGCCGCGGGGCGGGGCGGTGGGCGTCTGCCCGTCAGTCAATCAATCACTCCGGGGCTGGGCCGGGCCGCGTTGCTAAGGGAGGCGGTGACCGCTCTGCCATGGAGACCGCCCTGAGGCGTCCGCAGGCCGCTGCCGAGTGACGGGCTGGGACGGCTGGAGCCCCCTTCCGCGGAGCGCCCGATGGGGGCGCAGCAGCCCGCGAGGTGAGCCCGGGAATGGAGGGGCGGATGGACCCGGGAGCCTGGCCTCGCCCCCCGTGTCCGCGAACCCGCACTTTCACACGTGCACAGGCTCCGCGTTCCCTTGCGCGCCCGACACTCCTTTTTCTCGAAGCCGGGAGCACCTTCCCCGTCTCGGCCTCTGCCCTGCTTTCCAGAGGCTGTCATCGGTGGGTGGGATAGACAGACGCCCTCCCTGCAGTGCTGTTCTTGGCCCCCTTCTTCCCGCCGCTTGCCTGTCTGTCTGTCAGCATCGTCTAACCTGCCTGCGTTGGCTCTTATTACCTGTTTTTTCTTATATCTGCCTGTTTAATTATTTTCAGTGTCTGTCTGCATTGCATCTCCTCCGTCTAGCTGCATCTTTGTGTGACTTGCCTGTTTGCATCCACCTGGAGTGAACCGAGACCTAGGTTTCCTGTCTCGTTACCAAGGCTGATTTCTCCGCACCTATTACCCCCTTCCATATCTCACCTAAACCCAGTCACGCCTGCTAATGTTATTTCCTTGCTATCGTTGTTTGCCTGCTGTTGTCATTCGGCATCTGAAATCACCCCAGTTTCCAAGAATTAAGACAGATGGACTCACATTTTAGCTGCATCTGAAGGAGTGAGCAGTGACTCACAGAAGCTGCCGTGTATTTTGTTAGTCTTTAAGGTGCTAGTGGACTCTTGCTCTTTTCTCCTGTTTGCATTCGTTTGTCTTGTCTAGTTGATCCTGATCTGCTTGCATTCCTTCTCTCTCGTTTTCAATCGAGCGGGGAACTCTGGGAGGCATACATGGTTCTTCCATTTTCCCCATTTTATTTTCACAACAACCCTTTGAGGTGGGTAACGCTGACTGGCCCATGGTCACCAATGGGGAGGGGGGGATTCGAACCTGCTTCTCTCTGGGTTTAGCGCTCATCAGCCTGTCACAGCCTTGGCTCTTTAACCCAGATTTGCTGCTCTGTTTGGATTTGCGTTTCCCTCCCTGGACCTTCTGCCCTTCTCTCTCCCTGAATCCAATCTACCTGGTTCAGACCTTCACACTACACCTGGCTCTTGCTTTCTCCCAGCCTCCTTGGAGCTCCACCTCCATCCGCCCACTGATGCTTACTGCCTTGCTGATCTTTCACAGGCCCAAAGTACCCCTTCTGCCCACCGTACCCCGCCCCCCTGTCAGCCTCTTGTCCCTGGCCTGCCACATTGTGAACCTGCCCCCCCCCTCCCCAGCATAGAATAAAAGATAATGGTGCATTGGGTAAAAAAATATTTTATTGTATTCCACTGAAAGTTCCCTGTGCCATTCACGCACTACTTTGTCAAGGGATCTAACCCTGACAGGGAATTTTTTGGGGTTCCCCAAAAGGAGTTCAGAATGGAGACTTCAGCAGAAAAGAATTTATTTAAGTAGTTCAGACTGCAGAGAAGGATCCTATCCAGACACTTAAAATAAGTAATCCAAAATTCTAACAGGCGCACCGTGCATTATAAGAACATAAGAGATGCCAATGTTGAATCAGGCCAATGGCCCATCCAGTCCAACACTCTGTGTCACCAGAAATACCAGGTGCCATCGGGAGGTCCAGCAGTGGGGCCAGGACACTAGAAGCCCTCCCACTGTTGCCCCCCCCCAGCACCGAGAACACAGAGCATCCCTTGCCCCAGACTGAGAGTTCCTATCTGTACCTTGTGGCTAATAGCCACTGAAGGACCTCTGCTCCATATGTTTATCCAATTCTTTCTTGAAGTCGTCCATGCTTGTAGCCGCCACCACCTCCTGTGACGTGGTATTATCTTGTCTCCAGTTACCCTGTGACTTATTCACTATGTTTTCCTTACCAATTACCTTTCTTTAATGCATTCCAGCACTTGGTTACTAAGGCACCCTAACCCTGAAGATAGCAGGCACTGACTCATGGCAGGCAACTGTTCTTGGTTCATGTCTTCATCGTCTAACCTCCAAATCTTATCTTTGAGGCTAGGCTCAGAACATTCTTAACGTGATGTCTCCTAAATGATGTTAGTATCATTTATGACAGTAGCAGAATTCAGGCAGAGATCAGGAATTTGGAACATACAAAGGTTTTGTGTTTCAGGGCACACAAGATGGAGATGGAGTCGTTCTTGGTTCATTTCTTCATCAAACCTAATACATTACAGATAATATTTTTAAATAACTAACAGAGATTTACAAACCGAAGACACGCAACTCGGGGCAAATTGAGCATAGTAAAAGTATTTTCCAGGAGCCAGATAATATTCTGTATGGCCAAGGCACCGGCCTTTCCTCCCCAGCCTCTGTGTAAACTTCCCTCCTTGTCCCTGGTCCTCTCTCCTGTGTAGTCACTTGGCTCATCTTCTCCCTCTCCTATTTAGCCCAACTAATTTGACTCTGGGAGCAACTTGGGTGTGTGTGTGTTTAACCTTTGTTTCCCACCCACCCCCAGGCTTCCCGGTGAGTCCTCTCACCTCCGCATCTTCTCATCCTTGGCAGGGGAAGAGGGCAGATGGCTTCACTGGGGGGGGGCATGGCTTTGCCCGAGGGCCAGCAGTTGCCGACTCCCACCGTCCACCTACTCCCATTCCCTTTCAGAGGCTCGCGGCTGACTCCCACTTCGCACAACTCCGACCGCCTTCTGTGAACCTTCCCCGTCTCTGCGCCTCACCCGCACCTCCGGCTCTGTCGCTGCCCTGTCTCCCTCCCACGCACAGGTATTGGATCCTGCTTCCTCCCCCCCCCCTCTTTGCAAATGCTAAATTCTGTCACGCGGCCCCAGTTGTCAGTCTGACTCAGCCGTGATATCTCTGTCATTGTGTGCTTCTCTCCCCCCCCCCCCCGCCCCCTGTTGCCGTGTCCCTGACATTGGGTCGCTCTTTGCTTTTGTGTAACCGTCTGATTCAGGATCACTTCGTGTCCCTGCACCCAGCCTCCCTCTCTGGGTGCCACTTTGGTGTAGTGGTTACGTGCGCGGACTCTAATCTGGGAGAACCGGGTTTGATTCCCCACTCCTCCACTTGCAGCTGCTGGATGACCTTGGGCAAGCCACAGTTCTGTCGGAGCTGTTCCCTCCAGATCTTTTCTGTACAGAGCTCTCTCAGCCTCACCTACCTCACAGGGCATCTGTTGTGGGGAGGGGAAGGGAAATGAGTTTGTAAGCCACTCTGAGTGAAGGGCGGGGGATAAATCTAGTCTCCTTCTGAGGCGGAGGACATCTTGCTGGGTGATTCCCACCGTCCAATCAGGGAGGCAGGAACTTTTCTTTTTTAACTTCCTGTCTCTTGCCTGTGGGAGTCGCACCTTTCTGCTTTAAGAGGCCCCCTGATTGGTCCTGCTTTTGCCACCTGAGCCTCTCTGAACGTCCAACGTTTTCTGCTTCCACAGCCCTTTTGTATGTGTACGCCTCCTTCTCCTCCTCCCCTCACACAGATCTCCAGCTCCTCCTCATCGAACCCCCTCAATCTGACACCGCTTTCCATCCCTGAATCCACTGCGCCTCCCTGACCCAACCCCCGCCTCTCCTCAACCCTCCTCTGCTCTCGCATCCCAAATATGTCAAGATGGGCAGCCGTGTTAGTCTGTCTGTAGTGATAGAAAAGAGTAAGAGTACAGGAGCACCTTAAAGACTAACAAAATCTGTGGCAGGGGAGGAGCTTTCGTGAGTCACTGCTCGCTTCTGCAGATACCCGAAGAGGTGAGCAGTGACTCACGGGGGCTCGCGCCCTGCCACGAATTCTGTTCATCCCAAATATAGTCCTTCTTCACACCCTGTGTCCTCTTTCACACCAACCTCTAACTTTGCCGTATTTTGTAAATTGGTTCCTGTACTTCCTTTACTGGCTTCTCATCCTCTGCCTGCTTCCCTCCCCAAACACCTGTGCTTTCATAGCCGACTTCAGGCAACGTACATCTGACTCTTTCGCACCGGTGACATTCTGACCCTTTTTATCTCGAGCATCCCTGATCCAGCCCCGACCTGGATAGACCAGGCAAGCCCGATCTCATTAGATCTAGGAAGCTAAGCAAGTACTTGGCATGGGGGAGACCTTCTTGGAATACCAGCAGTCGGGAGTTGGGGGCAGGCTTTATTCAGCCACCTCTCTAAATATCCTCCAGCCCCCCAGTAGGGGTCAGTCACCAGAGGTCGCCATGACTTCCAGGTGCACACACTCTCACACACACGCACTTATGAAAAATACAAACCCCCCCCCAAAGCATCCTTTGACCAGTTTTAGGATCCCAGCTTCTGATTTTGTGGATCAAAAACTGGCTAATTAATAGGAAACAGAGAGTGAGTATAAATGGGCAGTTTTCTCAGTGGAGGGTGGTAAGCAGTGGGGTACCGCAGGGATCAGTACTGGGTCTGATGCTTTTTAACTTTTTCATTAATGATTTGGAGTTGAGTAAGCACTGAAGTAGCTAAATCTGCGGATGACAAGAAATTGTTCAGGGAGGTGAAAACCGGGGAGGATTATGAGGCACTCCAAAGGGATCTGTTGAGGATGGGCGAGTGGGTGTCAACGTGGCAAATGGGGTTCAGTGTGGCCAAGTGCAAAGTGATGCACGTTGGGGTGCTGCAGTTGACTAATTCCCGCACTGAGCAAGGGGGTTGGAGTAGGTGACCTCTAGGATACCTTCTTACTCTGTGTCAAGAAACCGGCCTCCTTTAAGAGAGTTTTCCTGCCTAAGTGTTAGCTTTCTTGACTA